AGTCGAGCGCCCTAACCTTGCCTCTAGTCTTACACTGCTAAATTAGAGACGGCTAGCGCAGATAGCCCTCGTGTAGCTTTGCGCGAAATCCATAACAAACAAGCTTACCACCCTGATATTTCTACCCAAGTTTTATTTAAACGCTCCCTTGTAGGAGAGATTGCTACTGTCTGTTCTACCTCAGCACCTAGCGGCTGAAATCAGACAGGATCTGGGAGCTGTTGTCACGGGCCAATTTAAAAAGATTTATATGAGCCGTCATGAGAACGTCAGGTGAGTTGTTGTACATTTTGTTTCTTTTTTTCTCACCGATTTGTTTTATGCCATTTCTATTTTTGAATTTAGGTTTTAACCTAACCGTACTGAATTTTCATTGGGTGAAGCTGAAAAGAAGATTGGAAATAGTTACTAGATATTTTTTTATCATATTTTGTTTATAAATGGTATACTAAGCTTGATGTTTAAGTTTTCAGAATTTACTAAAAACAACAGCTTCCCAACTAAAATATTTCGCTGGAACTTATATGATATGATATAAAATTGTAAATATGTATTTAAAAGAGACATGGTGTTTGCCTGTATTATATCGGAAAGATACTGATTTGTAACTATACTTCCGTATTACCACTAACGACAAAAAGTCAAGTGTAGGGTACCTAATAAAAATGGTATAACTACACCTCCGTATTACCACTAACAACAAAAAGTCAAGTGTAGGGTACCTAATAAAAATGGTATAACTACACCTACGTATTACCACTAATGACAAAAAGTCAAGTGTAGGGTACCTAATAAAAAATGGTATAACTACACCTACGTATTACCACTAACGACAAAAAGTAAAGTGTAGGGTACCTAATAAAAAAAATTGTAATGCAAAAGCAAATATTGTTTACCTTTGAGGAAACGATTAAGAACATTTTTCAATTTTCTACTTGATTTTAAAGTTTGGAGACAATAGAAGATCAAGAATCCTACCATACATTTCTTTCTTTATTCTTTGTGTTCTAATATAATTTGTCAAACTTATAGTTAAAGCACTATTTTTCACACAATTACCCCCTTGTTTATGTGATAAAGTACCCTCATTAACAGGAAATCTTTACTTTACTTTACTCTTTAAAAATTATTAATTATTAACATTCAATTTTATTTTATCGTTTTCGTTACCAGAAAATAAAGGTTTAAGTTCTGTCTTTAGGAAAACGTTATATGCGATATTTGAACCTGGAAAGTGTATGTCTTTGTGTAATTTATAGTATAACTCCTAATTAAGCAATAATATACAGTCAAGGATCGAAGGGATGACTCAGGAGCTGTGTCTGCTCTTCTGTTTATTTTTACAAGCTCTCTCGTGTACCTGCTCTTCTGTTTATTTTTACAAGCTCTCTCGTGTACCTGCTATTCTGTTTATTTTTACAACTTCACTCGTGTGCCCGCTATTCTGTTTATTTTTACAAGCTCTCTCGTGTGCCCGCTCTTCTGTTTATTTTTACAACCTCTCTCGTGTACCTGCTATTCTGTTTATTTTTACAAGCTCTCTCGTGTGCCCGCTCTTCTGTTTATTTTTACAACTCTCTCGTGTATCTGCTATTCTGTTTATTTTTACAACTTCACTCGTGTGCCCGCTATTCTGTTGATTTTTACAAGCTCTCTCGTGTGCCCGCCCTTCTGTTTATTTTTACAAGCTCTTTCATGTACCTGCTCTTTTATTTATTTTTACAAGCTCTCTCGCGTGCCTGCTCTTCTGTTTATTTTTACAACCTCTCTCGTGTACCTGCTCTTTTGTTTATTTTTACAAGCTCTCTCGTGTACCTGCTCTTCTTTTATTTTTACAAGCTCTCTCGTCTCTATCCAATATTAGTTACAAATTATAATGAAAACCAAATTTGGGTGTTTTCGTGACAAAAATCATTTACGTCTTGTTGGATGATAGCCTTGCAAGTGCGTTAGCTCTTAAGTCACTTTCAAAACCCAAGTTACATCTCTCCCATCACAGCTACGCTATTATTAGTACCTGCTCATTAAGTGAACAGAAATGAAAAATCCGCTGATCCAATTTTAAGATATTTAATCAAATACGCATATAATGCAATGCTGCATGCTTAATAGCTTTCATTGGTATAATTACTTCATTAGCATGATCTATTGCTGTATAAATCATCATTACTTAATAACGCTAATGTTGAATATTTTATTGATGTATTGTATCATATATCAACCCTGTAATTTCAATCAATACGAGAAAATGAGCTTATCACTATTTACAGTACTTGACACGAACCTGATAAGTTCGCTTGCACTTATGTAGATAGGTCTGTTGTATATTTTTGTCTCAGAGCATCATGGTAGTTCTAAGCACGTGCGTGTGTGAGTGACTTTTACATTATAATGATCTTGCGAACTTCAATCGTATTTGGAAAAATAATCTGTTGTAATAATACTCAGTTTTTGTCTGTCCTGAAAATGTGCGTGCACCTTACTATCTAAATGCGCATATCGCGCGCACTTCATTTCAACGGATGTAAATATACCTTAGTCTTTAGTAGACATTTTGTACAACAACAAAGTTTTTTTAAAAAAAGGTCTAACGTTAAGTTATAGAATAACATTACAAGTTTACTTATTGATAGTATTAAGTGCGGTAAAGTATAGCTGTAACTATACTAGAACAAAAAACTTACAGTGTTAATAACTTTTTATCGCATAGAGATTGTACTTAATAAAGGCTTAGCTAATGTTAGGCCTAAGAGAAGTGGATTTATAGATTTCGGTGTCTCCAATTAAAAAAAAAATTATTACTCGAGTAATCCAGTATTTAAAGAAATGCTGTTGCAATAAAGATAGTAATTTGACTGTAAATGTTTTGCGGCTCTCTGCTAATAGTTTATTTAACGCCAAAATCCAGGTAAATTCATGAGATTTTGACAGTGGTTCGAAATGTGATAACATTTCAATATATGACCTATAGATGGATGGATTTTTAAGAAAACTTGACAGTGGTAATAATGATAATGGTCAAAAGTCAATCGCAACTTGTTGAAATTATTTTCTTTATCGTACAGTTATCTTGAAGGTTTAAGTTGTTATTTTTTCATATAGCACCAGCATAGTTACTGCGTTTACAGGCACTTAAAGTTTGAAAAAGAGGCGTTACTAGACATCGTAGGGGGTACAAAGTTACAGTTCGTTTTTTTTATTATTATTTACGTCCCCAATCAAAATGAAAATAATCTAAAATATAGAATAACTATTAGGAGCATTAGGAAACATGTTAAACATTTTATGTGGGTTAACCTTTTGATGTTTGGCCTACAAAATATAAATGAAGTCTTGTGACCCTGGTTAACCACAGTATTGGAGTCGAGGGGGACACGTTGTGCGGTTAACTGGGACCTTGAACTAAAGTTATCAAAAACTGGTTCACCTAAACATATTCATTGTGCATTGAGCTGAGCTATTACAGCACACAATAAACTGAAAAACCCCAAACAGTTGCAAATGTCCACCTATTAAACTGCTATATAATAGTAAGTACAGGGAGACAAAACAAAATTAAAAGAGATCGCGTTAGTAAAGCTTCCACTTTCTCCACGAAAGGATGGAGGTTGGGGTTAAAGTTTTGTAATAACATCAGCCAAAGGCACGTCTGAGAAATCTTCGGGGGGTCTCATGAACCTGTTTATCCCTCTCTATCTTTGGAACCGTGAAATTTTCAGGAGATGTCAAGAACATGTTTTTGGAACCGCAAAATCTTCGGGTTTATCCCTCTCTGTCTTTGGAACCGTGAAATCTTCGGGAGGTGTCATGAACCTGTTTATCCCTCTCTGTCTTTGGAACCGTGAAATCTTCGGGAGGTGTCATGAACCTGTTTATCCCTCTCTGTCTTTGGAACCGTGAAATCTTTGGGAGGTGTCATGAACCTGTTTATCACCCTCTGTCTTTGGAACCGTGAAACATTCGGGAGGTGTCATGAACCTATTTATCCCTCTCTGTCTTTGGAACCGCAAAATCTTCGGAAGGTGTCATGAACCTGTTTATCCCTCTGTCTTTGGAACCATTCTACCGTGTACCCATCATGTTTGTTAATCACTTTGTACTGCCCACCTTATCCCAGTCAATACTGAGTCAGTTAATCCCACGGGAAACAATAGCACCAAACTCGTCTTTGTCCATATACAGTGAACGTTATTTATCTGTCAACATTTTGGGATTAATTAGTAAGCTTTGAAGATTATTTGAATATTAAAAGATGTATAAATACTAAATGCTGAGTTTGAGTTATCAAAATGTAAGTGACGAGAGAAAATACAGTACTCAAACACACGACTCAGACAAGTAGTCTCCAAGCGGCCTTGATTCACTGAAAGATCGTCGCGTAGTGACAATTCTAAATACTAGAAGCCAGCCGAAATTTCTTACTTTAGTTAAAGTGGAGACATGTGACCCAATTAACCAATCATGATCTTCCCTATTTGATTTAAAGAGTTGGGATGTTCACTTAAAAAAAAAAAAGATACACGCATTTTGAATATTGCAATATTGAATGTGCAAACTTTACACATGAAATGTAGTTATTTCGTAACCGTAAGCACATCATAATGTTCTTTTTTTGCCGTCTCTGATATTTTCATTATTTGCAGTATCTTATTTGCGGATATTGTTGGTTTCACTGCGATATCTTCGACCTGTCCGGCTGCGGAACTTGTGAGAACTCTCAACGAGCTGTTTGCACGATTTGACAAGCTAGCAGAGGTGAGACGGATAATTGTCTTTAATTGTTTAGGTAATACAGGTGAAATAACGGTAGTTATCAATACAGCACTGAGAAAACTAGAATAGTGTTTTATTGTTGAGGTAATACAGGTGAAATAACGGTAGTTATCAATACAGCACTGAGAAAACTAGAATAGTGTTTTATTGTTGAGGTAATACAGGTGAAATAACGGTAGTTATCAATACAGCACTGAGAAAACTAGAATAGTGTTTTATTGTTGAGGTAATACAGGTGAAATAACGGTAGTTATCAATACAGCACTGAGAAAACTAGAATAGTGTTTTATTGTTGA